CCTCCCCCCACCTTGCACCTGCGCCGGCTGCATCCCGTGGGGGATCAGGCGGGGACCCGGCGCCCAGGCCCTGACCCCCACACGGCAGCCTCCTGCGGCCTGGGAGCCCCGTCCAGGGAAGGGCAGGGCGGTGCCGGCCACACGTCTGCCAGCCGCCCGGCCTGGCCCCTACCCATGCCGTGGCTCCCCGTGGAGCCGGGGGGCTCACAACACCCCCTTTCTTGTCCCGCTGAGGCGTGCTCTGGCATAACTTGTTTTTCGGGCTCTGGGCTGGGGGTGGGTCTCGGTGTCCCTGGGGTGGGGTGTGTGGCCCCTCACAGCCACCCCTCCTCCGCGCAGGGCGCACCAGCTTCTACGAGGAGTATGGCGTCATCCGTGACGTGCTGCAGAACCACCTGACCGAGGCGCTCACCCTCGTGGCCATGGAGCTGCCCCGCAACATCAGCAGCTCGGAGGCCGTGCTGAGACTCAAGCTGCAGGTCTTCCAGGCGCTGCGGGGCCTGCAGAAGGGCAGCGCCGTCCTGGGCCAGTACCAGGCCTACAGCCAGCAGGTGCGCCAGGAGCTGCAGAAGCCGGCCAGCTTCCACAGCCTGACGCCGACCTTCGCAGGTGGGCTCTGCAGCCGGCGTGCCGGGCAGGTCTTCTGCGCAGGGCAGCCGAGGAAGGGGGCGATTCGCGCCAGGTGCCCCCTGGCTTGGGCGGGAAGGGGCCAAGGCGGGTCTTCAGTGGTATGTGAGAAGTGGCCCTGCTTCCCTGGCTTCTGCCAGCTGGAAGCAGCAGGTCCCTTTGGGGCCCCCAGGGGCAGACATTCCAGGGGGTCAGTCCGCCCACCCAGTCAGCGCGCAGACATAGGCCCTTCCAGGGCTGGCTGAGCTGGCTCAGGTCGCCTCCCGCCCTGTGGGCCCCATGCAGCCTGCCGGGCCGTGGCGGGGGCCCTGCCGGTGGCAAGCGTGTGCCACAGCCCCTCTAGCAGTTCCCAGCTGCGAGAACAAGCTCACAGCACAGCAGCTCCTTGTGAGACTCGGATGGGGTTCCAGGCCCTTTATACACAGGGCTGCAGCGAATCATTGCTTGCTGACCTCACCTGAGTGATCTCACCGGACTGCACCCACGACCCTGCAGGCAGGAGCATTCTGATTTCTGCCTGGTGAAATTGCGAACGGCTGTCTGAGGTCTGCAGCGGTAGTGCAGGGAGGCAGCTTGGAGCGCAGGCGTGGGGTGCTCCGGCATTTGGCTTACCCCCCAGCCAGCTGCACGCCCCCTTCCTCACACCCACAGCCCAGCGGAGCACCCAGCTCCCCCCCCCCCATATCTGTCGAGCTCAGGCTCATCCTTGAGGCGCTGCCAAAACACAGGCTCACCCCGGCAGCCAGGACCCCCCCTGCTCCACAGCCCCTCTCGGAGCCTGCAGGCTGGAGACGCACCTGCTCTCCTCGCTCAGAGAGCGTGACTCAGGAAGAGGAGGTCACTAAGGGGGACGCAGGCATGAGGAGGGGTCCGGCTGGCTGCAAGGCGGCGGGGAGGGGGTTGGCCAGTGCCGGGGCCCAGGGGGTCGGTGCTGGAGCATCACCACCGCTGTCCTGTCGCCTCAGGCGTCCTCGTTCACGTGGACAACCTTCGCTGGGAGGGCGTCCCCTTCATCCTGATGTCCGGCAAGGCCCTGGATGAGCGAGTGGGCTACGTGCGGATCCTGTTCAGGAACCAGGCGTGCTGCGTGCAGGACGAGCCGCACTGGGCCGCCGGCCAGAGCCGCTGCCTGCCCCGGCAGGTCGTGTTCTACATCGGCCACGGCCAGCTGGGCAGCCCTGCCGTGCTGGTCAGCCGCAACCTGTTCAAGCCCTCGCTGCCTCAGGGCTGGAAGGAGATGGAAGGCCGCCCCGGGCTCCGTCTCTTTGGCCGCCCTCTGTCCGACTTTTACGCCTACAGCCCAGTGAGCGAGCAGGACGCCTACTCCGTGCTCATCTCCCGGATCTTCCACCGCCGCAAGGACTCCTTCATCACCACGGAGAACCTGCTGGCCTCCTGGGTCTTCTGGACGCCCCTGCTGGACAGCCTGGCCGAGGAGACCCCCCGCCCCTACCCCGGAGGAGCAGAGAACGGGCACCTGCTGGACTTTGAGTTCAGCGGCGGCCAGTTAGCCTTTTCTCAGCAGCAGCTGGCGACGCTGGTGCCGGGGCCGGGGCCCGCCCCCCTGCCCCGCGACGTCCAGGTGCTCAGGGCCAAGTACCGGGACAGCCCGCTGATCTCGGCCTGGCCCGAGGAGCTGATGGCCACGCTGGCCAGCGACATCGAGGCCACAGCTGTGCAGGCCGTGCGGCGCGCCGGCGAGTTCCACCTGGCGCTCTCGGGCGGCTCCAGCCCCGTCGCCCTGTTCCAGCAGCTGGCCACGGGCCACTACGGCTTCCCCTGGGCGCACACGCACCTGTGGCTGGTGGACGAGCGCTGTGTGCCGCTCCGGGACCCCGAGTCCAACTTCCAGAGCCTGCAGGCCCACCTGCTGCAGCACGTCCGGGTGCCCTACTACAACATCCACCCCATGCCCGTGCACCTGCACCAGCGGCTGTGCGCCGAGGAGGACCAGGGCGCCCAGGCCTACGCCAGGGAGATCGCCGCCCTGGTGGCCAACAGCAGCTTCGACCTGGTGCTGCTGGGCATGGGCACCGACGGGCACACGGCCTCCCTCTTCCCACAGTCCCCGAGCGGCCTGGACGGGGAGCAGCTGGTCGTGCTGACCCAGAGCCCCTCCAAGCCACACCAGCGCATGAGCCTCAGCCTGCCCCTCATCAACCGGGCCCGGAAGGTGGCCGTGCTGGTGGTGGGCAGGATGAAGCGCGACATCACCTTGCTGGTGAGCCGTGTGGGCCGCGAGCCCAGGAAGTGGCCCATCTCCGGTGTCCTGCCCAGCTCTGGCCAGCTGGTCTGGTACATGGACTACGACGCGTTTCTGGGATAACGGGGTGATGGCGCCCTGGCCCTGCGTTCGCCCCCTGCCTCCTTCCTCCCGCCCCCTCCCCGCTCCTGCTAGTCCCACTAAGCGCTCTGGGCCCTGGCCTTCCAAACCTGAGGCCCCAGGGCCGGGCTCCTGTCCCAAGCCTTTTGGCAGCCAGGCCTGGCCAGTGGTGGTGGCAGACCCGGAAACAGGAGAGATGGGGTTTCTGCTCTTGAGAAGCTTTGAACCTCGAGGAAAGACCTGCAGCGGTCACGCCGACATCAGCCGGCACACAGGAGGAATGTGACAGCCCAGATCCAGGAGGAGGACAGCAGTGGGCTGAGGTTAAGCAGGGGAGGCTTCCTGGAGGAGGTGATCCTTGAACTCGCCTCCTGTGGGAAAGAAAAGCATGGATGGTAGTGAGCAGGGGGCCCGGGCATCTGCGTGGGGACAGTGCCCGTGCGGGCGGGAGGCCAGCCGTGGGCCCCGTTCCGCCCTCTGCCCCTTCTGCCCAGCTTCTGCATCCCACCTGCCGTCCTCCCCGTCCTGCTCCCATCTGCAGGCCCCGTCGTCCCCTTCCCGCCCCTCAGACTCTTCTCATGTGGCTGGAGCTGGCTTGAGGGTGTTAAATGGTCCCAGAACCCCTGGGCCTGGAGTGCCCTTACTCAGTAGATGGACTTGTCTGCCGTGGGGGTGCCTGGTCCCCCCTCTGTTTGCTCAGGGGGGAGCCTGCCACTCTGCTCTCTAGTCCGACCCTACGTGACACTCCAGGTGTAGCCTTGGTCCAGGGGCCTCAGGGAAGAGGTGCTGACCCCCGCCGTGGCTCCCAGTGGCTCTGGCCCCACCCCCAGCCTTACCAGGGAAGCAGTGGGGTCCTCACCCGCTGCTGGGACCCTCGGGCAGTGTGAGGGCAGATGAGCTGGACCTCCGGCACCCTGATCCCGTCAGGCGGGAGGGAGCTGCAGCCCCTGGGCCTGGCAGCCACCCCCACCCCGAGGGCCAGCCCTGCCGCCCTGCCACACACCTGGCACGGCACCGCTGCCCCGCCCACCCCTCCTGCCACCCCGCTCCGCACTGGGGCAGAGGGCCCGGGCATGACAGGGAGCCCCTGTGAGCATATGGGGGCGCTGCTCTCCTAACTCAGCAGCCAGCAGAGCCTGGTCTCCTGGAACCCCAAGAGGAGGAGCTGAAATCCTTAAAAAAAAAAAAAAAAA